GTCCGGGCGGTTCTATGAAACCCAAAATGTCACTAATGTATTTGTGCAAGGCCATGGAGAGACTTGTACACAGCAAGAGCGTTTTTTAAGATCTATTCTTTGAGGCCTCAGGGAAGCCAGCTGCAGAGACCTGAGGGAACGGACTAATATGGTAATACTTCCTGGTTCCTGTAAGGACTCTAGCTGCTGCTTTTTGGTGTACTGCAGCTGCTTTACAGGTCTTGTTTGGACAGACCTGTAAGCAGGCCATTGCAGTAGTCCTAGCCTCCTGATGCTGGAGACAAAGGCATGGACAAGAATCTCCAAAGTCTGACCTGGACACTAGATTTCTAACTTTGGCAATGTTCTTCAGATTGGTTAAAAAGCTGTTGATGATATTGTTTTATTGGCTAAAAAAATTGAAATTTCGGTCTGAGTCCAGTATTACCCCCAATTTCTGACCTTGTCTGAAGGAAGTTAGGGAGAGAGCTGAAGTTGACAAATGACGCCCTCTCTTTCGTGTTTCTGGGGACCAAAGACAATGATTTCGGTTTTGTCTGCATTTTAGCTGGAGGAAATTATTTTGCATCCAGTCACTGATCTGTTGGATACAGTGGAAGGAGAAATCCAAGTGGTCCATCGGTTCTCCTGCAGTCAGTGAGACATAGATCTGAGTGGTCGTCAGCGTAAAAATTTGTGGTAGGACCACTTTGTTTCTTTGTATTAACTGACCTAACGGCAGCATGTAGAGATAAATAGGAGAGCGTCCCAGGATCGATCCCCTGTGGTACACCACCACGAGTCAGGGCCAATCAATCTGAGACGCAGTCTCAATCTCCACAGAGTACTTCCTATCCTCCAGGTAAGACCTAAACCAGTATAGGGCTGTGCCAGTGACACCAGCCAAGTCCTCCAGTCTCTGCGTGAGGATCTCATGGCTCGCATGTGTCGAACGCATGGCACTAGATCTAACCTGACCAACAACTGTGACGTTTACCTGCATCAGTGTGAAGTCGAATGTCGTATGTTACCTTCACTAGAGCTGTGGTTCCAGTGCCTTGTGTGGGGTCTAAAAACCCAGACGGAACCTATCAAAAAGAATTATTCATTGTTTAAAATTCAGTAGTTGTTGTCGGAGGCCACTTTTTCAAGAATTTTTCATAAATGGCATGATTCGATATGGGGCGATAATATTGATGTCCCGCAGGATCCAGACTGCTATTTTTTTAGGAGAGGTCTTATGACTGCTGTTTTTTAGGGCCATAGGAAATTGGTGCCTGACGACAGAGACATGTTTACGATTTGTGTCCAGTGAGGTAACAAAAACTGCTCAGGCCGGACTCAGACATTTAGAGGGCACATATATCCGGGGCTAATGTGGAGGCAGCTCAGATCATGATTATCTTTTTGACAGTTTCAGTATCCACAGGGGCAAAGTGAGTTAGCTCAAAAAAGCCTTCTATGCTGTTGCTTGTTATACGTGCTGTGGAGGTGATAGTGTTTTTGATTCCTTGTACATGTCATCGAAAAACTGTGCGAACTCATTACACTAAGATTTAGAGGAAATTTCTTGAGGGGCAACTTTACAGGGGGGGTTCGTTAATCTACCAAACTGTTGAAAACATTAACACGAAAATTGTTACTGCCATCCTCCAATAATGTCAGAAATAATAATTTCTCTAGTTGCTACGTAGAACCCGGTTTAAATTCACCCAACATCTTTTAAAGATTTCATAATCGCCCTGGAAATTGGACTTTCGCCACATCCTGGTTCGGCCCTCGGCACTCTTGCTTCTGTGCCCTAACGAGTTCCTTCGTCCCATGGGGCCTTTTTCTTACTGGTAACTAATTTTAACCTTCACAGGAGCACAGGAGTCAGAACAGTCAGAACACTGGTGGTGAAGGAGATTCATACAATTCATACCGTAGAGCATGGAGTTCTCAAATTTAGCATTCCATTGAACAGTTCACTTGTGTTTTCATGTATGTGTCTTCCTTCTAACAGTTGTAAATTCAGCTTGTGGTTTGCTAGCATAAAACATGATCAAAAAAATACACAGAAATGATCTGACAAAGCAACTATCCACTACTCATTAACATTGTACCATTAACCCCATTGTAATTAGCAGGTCAAGAGTGTGCCCCTGCTGTGGGTGGGGCCACTCACGTGCTGAATTAAACCAAGGTCTCAAATACAGAAGCCTTGCTCCTTTGCATTTCTGTCATCAACATTACAACATGTACATTTAAAATCCACCTGTAATAACTAAAACTATCAAATCTGTGCACTTACGATGAAAGTAGTTCAGTAAATGGTCATAAAATCGCAACATGACTGTGGTGGCCTGTACTGGACAATGAAAAGAGTAGAAAGATTGCTTTGTTCCATTTTAAAAGGAATATACTCAAAACCGATTGACAAATTTCCAAGGGGCATTCTATGGGAGACAAAGTGCTCTCTAAAACTGCAGCTATGCTCCCCCTTTTGTTTTCTCGTCTATTTCGGATTCGAATTAAAATTGGGTGGTGGTGCTTCTATTAGAACTGCATTTCTGTATATTTGGTCGAGCCATGTCCGTTTCAGCCATAGCTAAATCAAGATCATAAGAAGTGATTAAATAAAAAATTATTAATTAAAAATGATTTGTTACATAGAGATCTGACATTAAGCATAAGCAAGTTTAAAAATAACGTCAGAGAAGATTAATGTGGTGATTGGATTTCTACAGGGAACAAGAAATTAGATTTGCAGAGTTGGACGTTCTAACTGCTGTCCTGTTTTGATTTCGTTTTTTAGAATTTAAAAACATTTTTGAGCTGGTGCGAGGAACACAACACCAGTCTCAATTGGCCTAATAAGTGAAAAACCCTTGTTTGTTGTTCTTTAGCTCCCAGAGTCAGAGGGAGACGGTCAGCACAGTTCAGTGTTGGACTTGGTAATGCACAGCCAGAGACAGGAAGCAGTGTTTGCACCGTTTTTTGTACTCACCGGTGCTGGTGAGCAGGAGGCGGGGGGTGCGGTGGGGTCCGAGGGGGCTAGATGTAAAACAGTCACGCCCTCGGGGAGACGCCTGAACAACATAACGTATGTAATCCATCAACAGGCTGCGTACCGTATTGTTTGGTGTAATCCGTCTGGCCGAATAGGCTTCGTAACGTTTCCAGAAAAGGGCAAAGTTATTCACAAAGAACAAAGTTTTAAAGAAGCTGGCATGTAGCCTGAAGCCACACATGCAAGCCGCCACAACACGACGTAGAGGCAAGTCACTCTGTTTACAGTATGGATGTGGACCAGAAATAAAAATCAGATAGGCCCGGAGGATTGAAGGCAGGGTGGAACAGATCCATAAAATGTTTTCTTCGTGACTTCTGATCTGCTGTAAGTTTCATGTCGTTAATTCCCACATGCACGACTACCTTGGAAACGGTATCAGGCAGGGGACCTGAAGAGGAGGAGGGAGACGGATGAGCAGGTTGGAACAGTAGCTCCGGGATACAGAGAGTGACGCGGTAAGAAGCGGGCGTGGTCTCACGATGGAATCTCAATAATCAGAGTGGTCGGGGCGAAGAGTGGCCTCGGAGAAGGCGCTCGGTGGACGGAACAGCGGTTCCACCCGAAGCAGGACCCCGAGCCTGAAGCGCCGTCGAAACTATGGAGAGGAGGATGCTGGGGTGCTGACTATCAAGCTAAGGCGGACCCACGCTGTGTGCTCGGGGACGCTGGACGCGGTAGAGAGGGGCTGGCTCTGGGCGCTGCTGATGATCCGGTGGAGGTGAGCGGTGGTGATGATGGCTCGGCTACCCCCGTCTGAGTCAGCTGCAACTGGGGTGTCAAACGAAGGGGAACAGGCCAAACATGGCTGGAGGGACCGCTCTTTCGCCTGAGGACTGCTTCCTTTAGGAGCGTTTTCCTCGCAGTGGACTTGGGATCCTCGAGCAGTAGGAGTAACACTGCCCCAGTGTCCAGGGATTCTGCTTGAGGGGGCCGGGATGTCGGTGGGAGAGGGCTGGCATAGCGGTTTGCCGACGCAGGACATGGGCCACGGCGCAGAGAGATGCTCTCGGAATCCGCGTGGCTCGTTTTTCGGAAGCGGGCGCTTAGGTTGTAGAAACAGGAGGGTCCGGAGCTGACGGATCTCTCCCACAACGCAGTGTCACAATATGCAGCGCTCAGCGACATCAGCCGTGAGTGCTGCCCAACCAGCGACTTCAAAAAGTTGGGACACTAGAGATTGTTTCTCATTCAACTCTGCGGTAGAGACGAAGGACTTTTTCTTTTCGTTTAGATCTGCAATGGTGGAACGGTCGCTCTCACGGAGCTCCAAGGTGAGGGCGACTAAATTGTGCATATTTGAGCAAATTTCATTGTCACTTTCCTAGTCCTCGTTAGCTTGTGTTAGCCTCTGTGCTACTAGTGGGTTTCAGTCGGGACTAAGTGCTATTTGCTGAAAACCACTGAAATTAAAAAGACTAAAACACCTCAGGTTTATTAAAATGAACAATAAAAACGCGCTAAAAAGTTGTTAAAAAGTTTACTAAAAAGGTGCCAGAGCAGCCCTGCAGGTACTGCTTACTTTTGACAACACCTGCGTTGATGAGTTGTGACGTGTGTTGCGAGTCATAATGCTGGCCACTAGTGGAAATCAGTACTGTAACTGATGTTGTATGAACATCAGTAGGAACATTTTATTTTGACACTTTCCTGTCTCAACCGGAAGAAGTCGAGTGGCTCGCGCAAACATCTGACCGGAAAAAACTTTACAAAGTGTATGGACGTTTCACCAGTGGTTTAGACAAACCGGTCATAAGAAACGGCGATATTTTTTTTGTACCGGTATACCGGTATAAGTAAATTAACATGATAAAGAAAAAATGCCTTATACCGGTGAAACACGATCATTAACACTGAAAACAGCAAGCGGAAGACACGTGTGTGTGCGGCGACTTTGATGAAGATTGCGCAGCACGTGTAGCAGGCGGCGTGGGGGCAGGGACAACAACAACAGAGCAGAGAGCAAAACATGGGTGAGTGCGGCGGTGAAGACCATGGTTAAAGACATGCAGATTGTAGAAGACATTGCGCCAAAACGCGGAGCTACCTCTAACATATGGGAGTAGTTTGGGAAACTAGATAAAAAGAAGCAATTGTGTGTAACTATCGACAGTGGATCTAATGTGGTTAAAGCAGCTGCCATACACAACTGGACTCGAGGGCTTGCTTCGGACACTCGTTCACTCTCTCTCGCTCTCTCTCATCGTGCCATGGTAAGCTTTATTTACTGTTTACTGTCATTCATTTCTACATCAATGCATCGTGTTTGTCGACATTAGCAAATATAATTACAAAGTAAGGGTAATAATTAACATGAATGATAGGAATATCGGCCAAAAGGATTACAAAATAAGACATACAGTATTTGATCCTGTTGGACAGATATTGGGGGAGATCAGGATAACATAAGGGCCAAAGTGATCAAATAATTATATTGATAATGCTACACTTTTTGTATAGATCAAGGACAAACTTGTAATATGTTACAAAGTTACACAATGTTCACCTTTTAGTTCCATGGTGCCTGCCATTTTGCAGTATGGTACACAAACAGAATTCTCCTACAATTTCAGTTTTGGGTCAATACGGTTCTTATATACAATAGCTGTATTACACTAGTTTTGCTGCCAATAAATCAGTAAATGCACTTTGCGGCAAGAGTGTTAAAATAATCAGTTGCCTATACGTTTTTATAGCTTTTAATGAGGCTTTGTTTTAAATTCTCATATCGGTCATATCGTGATCATACCAACAAAATCGGATCCATGCTGGGCCCATATCGCCCAACCCTAGTGGGGCAAAGAGCTGTTTGATCTGAGTAAGGGTGGTCCTCTTTATCATTTCTGTCTGAAAAAAACTGCATCTAATGATCTGACAGAAGCCAGAGAAACATAATGTGCAAAAATAGTGATTTTGAAGGCAACTGTTTTAGAGCCAGGAAGTAGAGGACATGTGTTTTAGTATTGAGTTCTAGTGGTGTGGTCTGAAATTTACTTTCCTTAGCTTTAAAGTTCCGTATCCTAGCTTTAATGTTTGTCCTAAAATTCCTGTCTGTGTTTTCAGTTGATTTCTCCTGGAGCGGCGCAGCGTGGCGGGGGGGCGGGGCCTTGAGGAGGCGGGCGGTCAGGGGTCGAGGCCAGGCCGAGGTGAGGAAGCTGTCTTACCGGCTCCGCCCCATCTCCCGCCCCTCCGCTTCCTCTGCTATGAACCCTGTGTTAGCAGCGCTCAGCCACGACGCAATCCTCACACCGGTGCAGTGCTCCGCCCCCCTCGCCAAGCCCCGCCCCCCCACGCCCCGCTGCGCCGTCCAGGAGAAATCATACTGAAACACACAGCAGTGAGTTATTAGGTACAAAACATTAAAGCTAGGATACTCACTTTAACGCTAAAGGAAAGTAATTTTCAGACCACACCAATAGAACTCATATACTAAACCACATGTCTCTACTTCCCTGGCTCTACAAACGTGCTACAATCACTATTTTTCACAATATGTACCTCTGGCTTCTGTTCTGATCATATAGATCAGTCATTATTCAGACAGAAAAGAAAAAAAGAGGACCACCTTACTCACGTCAAACAGCTCTTCTTTCCCACTAGGGCTTGGGCGATATGGGCCTCAGCATGTATCACGATTTTTGTTGGTATGTATCACGCTATGACGATATGATATTTTAACAAAGCCTCATATAAAAGCTATAAAAACTTAGCACTGATCATTTTAAACACACTTGCCTCAAAGTGCATTTACTGATTTATTGGCAGCAAAATGTGTATTCAGCTATTGTATATAAAACGTATTAACAAAATGAATTGTAGAGAATTCTGTTTTGTACATACTGAAAATTGCAGGCAACATGTAATAAAGGTGAACATTGGTAATTTGTAAAATATATAAAAGTTTGTCCTTTGTAATATAAAAGTGTAGCATTATCAAATAATTATTTGATCACTTTGCTTATGTTTCCTAATCCCAATATAGTCAAAATGATCAAATACTGTATATATTTTTGTATCCTTTTGCCGTTTCTCTAATTATGTAATTATAAAACTAATTTGTTAATTATATTGAAATGTAGACAAACACATGCATTTGAAGTTAAAATATGAATGACAGTAAACAGTTAAAATAAAGCTTACCAAAGGCACTATGAGAGAGAGATGAGAGAGATGAGAAAGGAGTGTCCGAAGCAAGCCACTCGTGCCAGATGTTTAGGGCAGCTGCTTTCACACATTTCGATCCTGTCGATAGTTACACACCATTGCTTCTTTTTATCTAGTTCCCAAACTACTCCCATAACAGTTTGAGGTAGCTCCGCGTTTTGGCACAATGTCTTCTACAATCTGATTTCTTTACCATGGTCTTCACCGCCGCAACTCACCCTATGTTTTGCTCTCTGCTCAGTTGTTGTTGTCCCTGCACGCCGCTCTGTTACCCGTGGCTGCGCCGATGCGTCATCAAAGTGCGCCGCAGCCACACAAACGTGTCTTCCGCTTGCGGTTTTCAGTGTTAAAATGTCGTTTCACCGGTATAAGGCATTTCTTATCATAACTATCCTTTATACCGGATACGGTTACAAAAAACATATCGCCCACCCCTACTGCCCACCGACTCAATGACACACAGTGGCTCTTTCTTTCACATAAAATGAAGACAGTAAGTTGTATCAAGCCCCTGGGATCAAAGATGCACCCTAGTCAAATGGGGATCGTCTGGTCCTCCCGGTTCTGTGCAGTGGACGAGCACCCATGATGCGTTGTGCCAAATACGTGGGCGGCAAACAATCACCAATCATGGGGGCATCGGGCAATATACAGACATGATGCGTATTTGGCAAAAAGCATCATGGGCGCTCGTCCACTGACCACAGCGCCCCGGCGAGCGAGGACAGGACGATCCCCATTATGACTAGGGGTGGCATCTTTGATCCCAGGGGCTTGGATACAACTTACAGTCTTCATTTTATGTGAAAGACAAGAGCCAGTCGTCATTGAGTCTCGAGGGCTAGTCAGGGTATGGGCGGATATTTTTTTTGTACCGGTATACCGGTTTTATACGTAAAATAACTGATAAGAAAATGCCTTATTCACGGGTGGAAAACGATCATTTAAACACTGAAAAACCAGCAAGCGAAGACACGTTAGTTGTGCGGCGCACTTGATACGCATCTGCGCTGACGTGTAGTCAGTGCGGCGTGCAGGGACAACAACAACAGTGCGAGAGCAAAACAAGGGTGAGTGCGGCGGGTGAAGACCATGGTAAAAGAAATTGCAGATTGATAGAAGACATTGTGCCAAAACGCGGAGCTACCTCAAACATATGGGAGGTCACTTGTTGGGAACTAGACTAACACAAGAAGCAACCTTCTGTGTGATCAAGCTATCGACACTGGATCTAATGTTGTGAAAGCAGCTGCCCTAAACCAAATGGACTCGAGTGAGCTCTAGCTTACGGACACTCGTTACGCCTCTCTCTCTCTCTCTCTCATAGTGCCATTTGGTAAGCCTTTATTTACTGTTTAATGTCATTCCTTTTACTTCAATGCAAGGAGTTATGTGCCTACATTTGCAACTATCAAATACAAATAAGTTATAATTACATACTTATAGAAACGCACAAGGATACAAAAAATATATACATATTTGATCATTTTGACTAATATTGGATGACGGAAACATAAGGCCAAAGTGATCAAAGACTAAGTTGAGAATGCAGACACTTGGTGATCTGACCAACGGACCCACTATTATATATGTTTACAAATTCCACATGGTACACCTTTTCTTACCTGATGCCTGCCACTGTTCAGTAGGGACCAAACCAGACATTCGCGACACGTCAGTGTGTGTGAAAACGGTGTATATACAATCGCTGTATTACACATAATTGCTGCCAAATGAAATCAGAACGGCACGTGGAGTGCACGTGAGGATAAAATTTATCAGTGCGTAAATTTTTATAGCGTTTTATAGCTGCGGCTTTGGTAAACATTAGCATTCGTCAGCTCGTGCTACCTACCAACAAAAATCGTGATACATGCTGGGCCCAAATCGCCCCACCCTCGAGGGCAAAGAGCAGTTTGATTCTTCGGCGCGCGTACGGGTGGTCCTCTTTTTTCTTTTCTGTCTGAAAAAACTGATCTAATGATCTGGACCAGAAGCCAGAGATACATATTGTGAAAAATAGTGATTGAAGCAACTGTTTTAGAAGCCAGGAAGTAGAGACATGTTTTAGTATTGGTTCTATTGGTGTGGTCTAAATTTTACTTTCCTTTAGCTTTAAAGTTACGTATCCTAGCTTCTTTAATGATTTGTACCTAAACTCCTGTCTGTGTTTCAGTATGATTCTCTGGAGCGGGCGCAGCGTAGGAGAGGGGGGCGGGGGTTGAGGAGGCGGCGGTAGGGGTCGAGGCCAGGCCGAGGCTGAGGAGCTGTCTTACCGGCTCCGCACATCTCCCCGCCCCTCCGCTTCCTCCTGCTCTGAAACCTGATTAGCAGCGTCAGCCACGACGCAATCCTCACACCGGTTCAGTGCTCCCCCCCCTCGCCAAAAGCCCCGCCCCCCCCGCCACGCTGCGCCGTCCAGTGAGAAATTCATAACTGAAAACACAGGACAGGAGTTTTTAGGTACAATACATTAAAAGCTAGGTTACGTTAATTTAAGCATAAAGGAAGTAAATTTCAGAACACAACCATAGAACTCATCTAAACACATGTCTTCTACATTCCTGGCTCTACAACAGTTGTTCAATCACTTATTTTTCAACATATGTTCTCTGGCTTCTGTCAGATCATTAGATAGTTTTTTCAGACAGGGAAAAGAAAAAAGAGGACCACCCTTACTCAGTCAACAGCTCTTTGCCCACTAGGGTTGGGCGGATCTGGGCCTCAGCATGTATCACGATTTATGTTGGTATGTATCACGACTTGAACGGGATATGAGCATTTTAACAATCGAGCCTCATATAAAAGCTATAAAAAATTTAGCATCTAGAATAATCTTTAAACACACTTGCCACACAAGTGCCATTTACTGATTTCATTGGCAGGCAAAAATGTGTAATACCAGCAAATGTGTATATAAAAAACGAAATGAACTAAAACTGCATTCTGAAGAGAACTTCTGTATTTGTACATACATGAAAAACTTGACAGGCAACATGTAATCGAAGAGCTGAACATGTTTTGCTAAATTGTAAAATATATAAAAACAGTTTTGTCCTTTGTCATATAAAAAAGTTGTAGCATTATCAAATAAATTATTTGATCACTGTCTGGGCTTAATGTTTTCCTAAATCCCAAATACTAGTCACAATGAAACAAATACATGGTAATATATTATTTGTAATCCATCTTGCGTTTCTATAATTATGTAATTTATCAACTTCGTTTGTAGAGTTCATATTGGCAATAGAAGACATAACACACATTGCAATTGAAGAAAAAATGGAAATGACAGTAAACAGTAAATAAAGCTTACCAATGGCACTATAGAGAGAGGAGGAGAGAGAGAAACGGTGTCCGGAAGCAAGCACTCGAGTTCCAGTTGTTTTAGGGCAGCTGCTTTCAAAAACATTAGATCCACTGCTCGATAGTTACACCAACAGTGCTTCTTTTTATCCCTAGTTCCCAATACGACTCCCATCCTGTTTGATACCGGTTAGGTAGCCTCCGCGTTTTTGGCACCCATTGTGCTTCTTACAAATCTGCTCTGTCTTCACCCTGGCTCTTCACCAGCCGCCCTCACCCATGGTTTGCTCTACGGCTCTGTTGGTGTTTGTCCCTGCACGCCGCTCTGCTACACGTGCTGCGCAGATGCGTCGATCAAAGTGCGCCCGCCACACAAACGTGTCTTCCGTTGCTGGTTTTCAGTGTTAATGCTCGTTTTCACCGTATAAGGCCATTTTTCTTATCATTTAATTTACGTATTACGGTTACCGGTCCAAACAAAAATATCGCCCACCTCTGCCCACAGACTCACTGATCACAGGGCTCTTTCTTTCCCTAAAATGAAGACAGTAAGTTGTATCCAAGCCCTGGGATCACAAAGATGCCACCCTAGTCAAAATGGGGATCGTCTGGTCCTCCCGGTTCTGCTGCAGTGGGACGAGCTCCCATGATGGGTTTGCTTTGTCGCCAAATACGGCAACCTCCCGGCACCGGGGCAAGGGGGCGCAAGACCATGAATGACAACCACCAGGGCCATGCGGGCAACAATACATGATTATCCCACCATCAGCCCAAACACAGGGGCAGCCGGGGCAGGGCCTGGCATATAGAAGGGGGCAGCAAAAGACCACCCCGGCCACAATCAACGCTGGCCAAACGTGGGCCGGCAAAACGCTATATGGATGCGTATTTGGCAACAACGCATCATGGGAGCTCGTCCACAGCACAGACCGGGAGGACCAGACGATCCCCATTTGACTATGGGTCGGCCTCTTAGATCCCAGGGCATGGATACAACTTCCAGTCTTCTTTTATGTGAACGAACGAGCCCTTTGTGAGTCATTGAGTCTGTGGGCCAGTTAGGGTTGGGCGATCTTTTTTTTGTACCGGTCTACCGGTATAAGTAAATTAAATGATAAGGAAACTGCCTTATACCGGTGAAAACGATTCATTTAACACTGAAAACAGCAAGCGGAAGGACACGTTTGTGTGCGGCGCACTTTGATGACGCTTCTGCGCAGCACGTGTAGCAGGAGCGGCGAGCAGGGACAACAACCACAGAGAAGAGAGCAAACATGGGTGAGTGCGGCGGTTGAAAGACCATGGTAAAGACCATGCACTTGTAGAAGGACATTGTGCCAAAACGAGGCAGCTACCTCAAAACATATGGGAGTAGTTTGGGAAAATCGATAAAAAGAAGCAATTGTGTGTAAACTATCGACATGGATCTAATGTTGTGAAAGCAGCGCCTAAACAACTGGACTCGAGTGGATTGGCTTCGGACACTCGATTCTCTCTCTCTCCTCTCTCTCTAGGTGCCATTTGGTAAGCTTTATTTACTTTATACTGTCATTCAATAGACTTCAATGCATGTGTTTTGTCTACATTGGCAATATAATTACAAATAAGTTACTAATTACATAATTAATTAGAAACGCAAAAAGGATACAAAAAATATATACAGTATTTGATCATTTTGACTATATTGGGATTAGGAAACATAAGCCAAAGTGATCAAATAATTATTTGATAATGCTACACTTTTTATATTACAAAGGACAAACTTTTATATATTTTACAACATTACAAAATGTTCACCTTTATTACATGTTGCCTGCAGATTTCAGTCTGTACAAACACCATTCTCTACAATTCGTTTTGTTAATACGTTTTATTATACAATATCTGTATTACACATTTTGCTGCCAATAAATCGTAAATGCCACTTTGAGGCAAGTGTGTTTAAAATTATCAGTGCTAAGTTTTTATAGCTTTTATATGAGGCTTGTTAAAATTATCATATCGTCTATCGTGATACATTTCGTGATACATGCTTATCGCCCAACCCTGTGGGCAATGGAGCGGTTTGGACTGCGTAAGTGGTGGTCCTCTTTTTTCTTTTCTGTTGAAAAAAACTGATCTAATGGACCTGACCGAAGCCAGGATACCTATTGTGGAAAATAGTGAATAGAAGCAAACTGTTTTAGCGCCCAGGAAGTTAGACGACATGTGTTTAGTATTGAGTTCTATTGGTGTGGTCTGAAATCTTACTTTCCTTTAGCTTTACCAAAGTGTACGGTATCCTAGCTTAATGATTTTGTACCCTAAACTCCTGTCTGTGTCTTTCACGTATGATTTCTCCCTGGATGGCGCAGCGTGGCGGTGGGGGGCGGGGCTTCGAGGAGGCGGCGGTCCAGGGGTCGAGGCCAGCCGAGGATGGAGGAGCCTGTCCTTAGGCTCCGCCCACTGCTCCACGCCCCTCCGCTTCCTCCTTGCTCTGATCCCTGTGGTTAGCAGCGCTCAGCCCGACGCAATCCTCCACACGGTGCAGTGCTCCGCCCCCTCCGCCAAGACCCGCCCCCCGCCACGCTGCGCCCGCCTCCAGGCGAATCATTCTGAAAACACAGGACAGGGCTTTTAGGTACAAAACATTAAAGCTAGGATACGTACCTTTAAAGCTAAAGGAAGTAATTTTCAGGACCCCCCAAATAGAACTCAATACCTAAACACATGTCTCTACTTCCTGGCTCCTAAAACAGTGCTTCAATCACTATTTTCACAAATATGTATCACGGCTTCTGTCCAGAATCATCTTAGATCAGTTTTTCGACAGAAAACGAAAAAAAGAGGACACCCTTACTCAGTATCAAACAGCTCTTTGCCCACATTGGGAGGTTGGGCGTATGGGCCTCAGCATGTATCACGATTTTTGTTGGTTATGTATCACGATATTTATGACGATATGGCTAATTTTAACAAAGCCTCATATAAAAGCTCATAAAACTTTCGCACTGAGAATTTTCACACCACACTTGCCTCAAAGATGCATTATGATTTTATTGGCAGCAAAATGTGTAATACAGCATATTGTATATAAATAAACGTAATATAACAAAAGCTGGCTAACATAGTTAGTAGAAATTCTGCTTTGTACATACTGAAAATTGTCAGGCAACATGCATAATAAAAGGTGAAGCATTTGTAATTTTGTCTAAAATATATAAAAGGGTTTGTCCTTTGTCAAGTATAAAAAGTGCTAGCGACTTACTCAACATAATTATTTGATCACTTTGGCTTATGTTTCCTCATCCCAATTATAGTCCAAACCTGATCACATACTGTATATATTTTTTGGCACTCCTTTTTGCGTGTTCTATAAATTATGTCATTCATTAACTTATTTGTAATTATACTTGCAATGATAGGACACACACAGGCTATTGAAGTATAACATGAATGACAGAAAACCAGTAAAATAAAGCCTCTACCAATGGCAGCGATGAGAGCAGGAGCGAGAGAGAGAGAGCCTGAGTGTCCGAAGCACGCCACTCGCGTAGTCCAGTTGTTCGTAGGGCGCAGCTGCTTTTCACAACATTAGCTCCACTGTCGAGTAGTTACACCACAATTGCTTCTTTTTATCTAGTTCCCAAACTACTCCCCTATGTATGAGGTAGCTCGCGCGATATGGCAACAATCGTCTCCTACAATCTGCATGTCTTCTTCACCATGGTCTTCACCGCCCGCCCCTCACGCCATGTTTGCTCTCTGCTCTGTCTGATTGTTTTTGTCCCTGCACGCCGGCTCTGCTAGCACGTGCTCGCGACAGATGCGTCATCAAAGTGTCGCCGCACACATAACGATGTCTTACCGCTCGACTGGTTTTCAGTGTTAAATGATCGTTATTACACGGGTCTTAAGGCATTTTGCTTCATCTATTTAATTATTACTTATACCGAGTTATACCGGTACAAAAAACAATCACGCCCAACCCTTACTGCCCACAGACTCAATACTCACAGGGCTCTTTCTTTACATAAAATGAAGACAGTTAAGTTGTATCCAAGCCCCTGGATCAAAGATGCCACCCTAGTCCAAATGGGGATCGTCTGGTCTCCGGATATGTGCAGTGGACGAGCTCCCATGCTGCGTGGTGCCAAATAGCATGATGCGTATTTGGCACAACGCATCATGAGCTAGTCCACTGGCACAGAACCGGGAGGACCAGTCGATCCCCCCATTGACTAGGGTGGCATCTTGGATCCCAGGGGCTTGGATAAACTTACTGTCTTCATTTTTATGTGAAAGAAAGAAGAGCCCTGTGGGAGTCATTGAGTCTGTGGGCCGAGTAGGGTTGGGCGATATTTTTTTTGTACCGGTATACCGGTATATACGTAACTTTAAATGATAAGAACAGTGCCTTTACCGGTGAAAACGATCATATTAAACTGAAAACGGATCAAGCGGCAGACACGTTTGTGTGCGGCGCCGATTGATGACGCCTTCTGCGCAGGCCACGTGTAGCGAGCGGCGTGCAGGGACAACAACAACAGAAGCAGCGAGCAAACATGGGTGAGGGCGGCGGGTGAAGGACCACTGGTGAAGACATGCAGAATTTGTAGAAGACAATTGAGCCAAAACGCGGAGCTCCCTCAAACTAAGGGAGTAGTTTGGGGAACTAGATAAAAAGAAGCAATTGTGAGTAACCTATCGACCGTGGATCGAATGTTGTGAACCAGCAGCGGCCCAAACAACTGGACGCGCGTGGCTTGGCTTCGGACACTCGTTCTCTCTCTCTCTCTCTTCTTCAATAGTGCCATTGGTAAGCTTCTAATTTAAGTTTGACTGTCATTTCATTATACTTCAAATGCATGATTTGTTTGTCTACATTGCCATATATATTACAAATAAGTTATAATTAATACTTATAGAAACGCAAAGGAGAACAAAAATATATACAGTTTTTGTCATTATGACTATATTGGGATTTAGGACAACATAAAGCCAAAGTGATCAACTAATTTATTGTAATGCTACACTTTTTATGATTACAAAGGCACAAACTTTTTATATTTTACAAATTACAAATGTTCCCCTTTTATTACATGTTGCCTGCAATTTTCAGTATGTACAAAACAGAATTCTCTACAATTTCGTTTTGTTAATACGTTTTATATACAATTGCTGTATTACACATTTTGGTGCCATAAATCAGTAAAATGCACTTGAGGCAAGTGTATTAACCTTATCAGTGCTAAGCTTTTTTATAGCTTTTATATGAGGCTTTGTTAAAATAATCATATGTCATATCGTGATACATACCATGGATCTATGCCACAGGACTGCCTTTTCTCTCTTCCCTCCACTGATGCCCAAGCCCCGGCGATCCAAGATGGCGCCCTATTCAAATGAATGGTTGTGCTCAGTGGCGCTTTGTGACGGCATGGGGGCTGAAAGATTAGCGGAAGTTGCCTGAAACTCGCAAAGATCTATGGGAAACTCGCCTGTATTTGGGCATCGTCTGGTCCTCCCGGTTCTGCGCAGTGGATGATCTCCCATAATGCGTTGCGCCAAACACGCGTGTGTGGGTCTCACACCGGGTCTCACGCACGTGCACAGAGGGGCTCGGCCGCGCTCTGACCAATCAGAGCAGTTCATCAGAGCGGGAGTTAGAGCGAGAGCCAGACGAGCAGAGTTTGTGGCACTAAAGTGTGGATTTAAACAAAACCGAAGGATTTAAGAAGAACAAAAGTTCAGGATGACAAGGGACACTAAAATCCCCACAAAATCCGACCTTTATGAAACCTGTAGGTTCTCTGTCAGCTGAGGTTGAGCTGTTTTAATATGCATTGAGTTCTATGGGGAAAATTTCTGGGTAGCCCACGTGAATTTAGTCTGGTTCAGTCTGCAGTACCGCGAGAATCCCCTGAGCACGTGAGTTATTCAGCTACAAGCTAGTAATACCCTATCCAGTTAATATAATACATCCATGCTGATGCCCAACACAATACTGCACTCTACAGGTGACAATTGCTCACTACACATAAATTGCCGTTTGAGAGTGAAAAAGTGTCTGAGGTGGGATTTGAACCTCAGTATCTGGATTAGGGTTGGGCGATATGGGCCTCAGCATGTATCACAATTTTTGTTGGTATGTATCACGATATGACGATATGATAATTTTAACAAAGCCTCATATAAAAGCTATAAAAACTTAGCACTGATAATTTTAAACACACTTGCCTTAAAGTGCATTTACTGATTTATTGGCAGCAAAATGTGTAATACAGCTATTGTATATAAAACGTATTAACACAACTGAATTGTAGAGAATTCTGTTTTGTACATACTGAAAATTGCAGGCAACATGTAAAAAAGGTGAACATTTGTAATTTGTAAAATATATAAAAGTTTGTCCTTTGTAATATAAAAAGTGTAGCATTATCAAATAATTATTTGATCACTTTGGCTTATGTTTCCTAATCCCAATATAGTCAAAATGATCAAATACTGTATATATTTTTTGTACCCTTTTGCGTTTCTATAATTATGTAATTATAACTTATTTGTAATTATATTGCAATGTAGACAAACACATGCATTGAAGTAGTAGTAAGTAAGTTTTTATTTATATACCGCCTTTTCACTGCAGATCTGAGTCTCAAAGCGGTTTACAATTGTTAATTTTTTGGGCATTTGTCTCTCACTCCACAAGTTTTACTCCATTGAAGTAAAATGAATGACAGTAAACAGTAAATAAAGCTTACCAATGGCACTGTGAGAGAGAGAGAGAGAGAGAGAGCGAGTGTCCGAAGCAAGCCACTCGAGTCCAGATGTTTAGGGCAGCTGCTTTCACAACATTAGATCCACTGTCGATAGTTACACACAATTGCTTCTTTTTATCTAGTTCCCAAACTACTCCCATATGTTTGAGGTAGCTCCGCGTTTTGGCACAATGTCTTCTACAATCTGCATGTCTTCACCATGGTCTTCACCGCCGCCCTCAGCCATGTTTGCTCTCTGCTCTGTTGTTGTTGTCCCTGCACGCCGCTCTGCTACACGTGTCGCGCAGATGCGTCATCAAAGTGCGCCGCACACAAACGTGTCTTCCGCTCGCTGTTTTCAGTGTTAAATGATCGTTTTCACCGGTATAAGGCATTTTCTTATCATTTAATTTACTTATACCGGTATACCGGTACAAAAAAAATATCGCCCAACCCTAATCTGGATTGGTAGTCCATCCACACAACCACTGGACTATCTCAGTGCCAACGAAAAGTTACAATCTAGTATTTATGTCAGACTCGCTGTACACTGCCTTGTCATCTTGAATATCCGCGAAAAAAGAACGAATACCAAATTGTAAACAACTTACAGCGTTGAAACGTACCCACTCTGACGTCACCAAGGGCTGTGAAGTTTTTTCGTCTCTAAGGGCGTTGCTATGGGGCTATTTCGATTTGGGGGGGATCAGACAAAAAACAACTGATTTCTCTTCTAATATAAAATGGTATTAAAACTGTATTTCTAAATAAATCAAACCCGTCATAAGGTCTTTAAGTGCATGTTTAGCTGCCTCACCCTATTCCGAACAAGCAGATGTCTTGTTTTTTCCACCTCTTCATCACAACATGGTTTCAGCCTGATTTGGTTTCCAGCGAGGTTCGTAGTTAGGATGGGGACCGGTGCTGTTTACTGTCCGCATCAGCTGGGTGATTCTCCATTCACAACTAGTATTCCTAGAGGAAGAGTGTGGACAGCTCTTATTAATTAGACAAACTTCTGTCGTTTTCAAATTACTAGTTGTGCCTTATCTTTAATTTGAGATATATTTGTGGGAATTGCACAAAAAATGTATAGTTTATCTGCTTTTATTAACTTGAATTGTTTCTGTAAATGCTTACAGGTAAAAAAAAATGGACACTTCTTTGAGTGCATCTCAAATTCGAGAGAAATTTATTGAATTCTTCAAGCGGTATGAACACAATTATGTCCATTCATCATCCACTATTCCTCTTGATGATCCTACACTGCTTTTTGCCAATGCTGGCATGAATCAGGTATGGTTATGACTTTTGCTGTTTCCAAATGAATATATGTTAAATTTTACTGTTTTTTTATTATTAAAGTTCAAGCCCATCTTCTTGAACACCATTGACCCGTCTCACCCCATGGCCAGACTGAAGCGTGCTGCTAACACACAGAAGTGTATACGTGCAGGAGGGAAGCACAATGATCTGGATGACGTTGGTAAAGATGTGTATCACCATACATTTTTTGAAATGCTTGGTTCCTGGTCTTTTGGAGATTACTTTAAGGTATTTCAGCACAGTTTGTTAAGTTATGCATCTTGTCAGTTCCTGCCTGTATGTCTTTTCCCACTCTCTCCCCCGTCTTACTCCTTTTCAGAAACTGGCATGTAAAATGGCCCTAGAGCTTCTCACACAGGAGTTTGGCATTTCCATTGAACGTTTGTATGTAACATATTTTGGAGGAAATGCTGATGCCGGTCTAGAGCCAGACCTAGAATGCAAACAGATTTGGATGGACCTTGGGTTAGTATTCTTGAGTCTTCCAACAGGTTTTTTTCTTGACTATATGGACATATACTTATACTTATATTTATTATTATTATTGTTATGTTATTGTTAATATGAATATTATAAGTAGTTTACATTTCTTAAAATCTTTGCTAGTGTTGCAGAGGCTCGTGTATTGCCTGGTAGTATGAAGGATAACTTTTGGGAGATGGGTGACACCGGCCCCTGCGGCCCTTGCAGTGAGATCCACTTTGATCGTATCGGGGGACGGGATGCCTCCCACCTGGTCAACATGGATGACCCTAACGTTTTGGAGATATGGAACCTGGTGTTCATCCAGTTCAACAGGTACTGATTTACAGTGGACGTCCTCTCACTTAAAAAGATGAGCAATGCCTTTGCAATGTGGAATGGGCCAAAAGCAACCCACTGTTGCTTTTGGAGATTTTTTTATTTATAAACTTCAAATGGGAGCAACCAAATTGAAGCAACAATTATTATAAATTCAACTTATATTCACAGATATTGAGGTCATTTGGATTTACAAAGATCTCATTTTTAAAGCTATAAAATGAATGTTATACTAACATAATAAGAGTATTCTTTTACCTAATGATTTTGTAATTTGAAAAGGGAGTCGGAGACTGTGCTGAAGCCCCTGCCGAAGAAGAGCATTGACACAGGAATGGGTCTCGAGCGGCTGGTCTCTGTCCTGCAGAACAAGATGTCAAACTATGACACTGATCTCTTTCTCCCATACTTTGAAGCCATTCAGAAGGTAGGTACAGAGCCTACCCTATCAGTATTTGAACTAGAATTCAGAATCAGTCATCATGTATGCTTATAGCTCAACTGTGATTGCATTGGATTTGTGCATTTAAAATATATATTTTGACAATCTTTGATTTTCATCATATAAATTTCAGTACCTATTTTAAATACACATATATTTACAATAAAGTCTCTTATCTTAAATTTGTATTTCCTCTAGGGCACCGGGGCCCGTGCATACACTGGTAAGGTGGGTGCAGAAGATGAAGATGGCATCGATATGGCCTACCGTGTGCTGGCGGATCATGCTCGTACTATTACCATCGCTCTGTCTGATGGAGGGCGCCCTGATAATACTGGAAGAGGGTGAGGAACATGATGCATTTGGTGAGAAATTAAATTACTGAGACAAGGATTGATTTGACTCATTGGTGAAGCCCTGTTGTGCAGTAGATATATTTAATTTAAAGCTGTCACAGTTTAGTGCCAATAAATGGACGGATTTTGAAAGTTTTGCATTGGTTCAACAAACCTATTTTTGTTTCTCTGTAGTTATGTGCTGAGGAGGATCTTGAGGCGTGCGGTCCGTTACTCTCATGAGAAGCTTGGAGCTCAGAAAGGCTTCTTTGCCTCATTGGTGGATGTGGTGATGGAGTCACTAGTAAGCATTTTTTCTGTTTGTATATATACATCCTAGACATGTTATTTACTTTCTCACATTCTTATTTTTAGGGCAATGCCTTTCCAGAGCTGAGGAAAGACCCAGAGATGGTGAAAGACATTATAAATGAAGAGGAGGTGCAGTTCCTCAAAACCCTCAGCAGGGGGCGCAGAATTCTTGACCGAAAGATCATGAGTCTTGCAGACAGCAGGACCATTCCTGGTGAGCAACTGAAATGACATTACTTATTCATGAAATAAAGCCACAGCGAACTGTGTAACAGCGAAATTCATGGTCCCATACAGGTGACACAGCATGGCTGTTGTACGACACATACGGTTTCCCCCTGGACCTGACCTCTCTCATAGCGGAGGAAAAGGGGATGCAGGTGGACTTGGAGGCTTTTGAAGAGGAGAAAAAAGCAGCACAGGTAAAAATTCAATGTTAATTTGAGGCCTGTGTTGGCAGAGCACCATTGTAGGTCACTATAGAAAGTGTCTTGCTGGACCTTTTACTTTGAAACCTAAAGAATTGACTTAAAAAAAAAAAAAAAGAATAGAACTTAATTCATGTTGCCTTTTGCTTGTAGCTAAAGTCACAGGGCAAAGGTGCAGGTGGAGAGGATCACATAATGCTCGACATTTACGCCATTGAAGAGCTGAGAAACAAGAATGTCGCGGCCACTGACGACTCTCCCAAATACAAGTACACCTCAGATGAAAAGGGCAACTATGGTGGGTCTTTCTTCCGAAATACTAGACCTTGTGAACCATCTTTGTGTGATGAGTTTTTTTCTTCTGTTCACACCGCAGAGTTTGAGGCGACCACAGCCACAGTCCTGGCGCTGCGTCGGGATCGTGCCTTCTGTGACGAGGTGACCACGGGGCAGGAGTGTGGCGTGCTGCTGGACCAAACCACCTTCTATGCTGAGCAGGGAGGCCAGACTTTTGATGAGGGCTTTATGCTCCGGGAACTTGACAGTACAGAAGATGTGAGTACACAGGATGCTCTAATTAAAAGCTGGTCCTGTCACCAGACTGTCTCATCCTGATGATTCTGCTTTTTCTGGAATGTTTCGCCTAATGTAATTAGCTCCAGTCTTTCAATTATTTTGTTGCAGCCTTCTTCATTTACAAAGAGTTGAGTCACCTGCTTGTTAATTGTAATGTTTACAAGAGGTCAAACATCAGAATTTAACTTCACAAACTTTGCTTTTGAATCTTGATTGCAGCGTATGGAGTTCACAGTAAAGAACACACAAGTCAGAGGTGGATACGTTTTGCACATCGGCACAGTTTACGGCACTCTTAAAGTTGGTGACCATATCACTCTGCATGTAGACGAGGTAAGTTTGAGCAAATCATACAAGATTTTAATTTTGTTTACGCATTATTTGCACATTTTTCAATTTAGGCTCGTCGGAGGCCAATCATGAGTAACCACACAGCAACACACATTCTGAACTTTGCCTTACGGGGGGTGTTGGGTGAAGCAGACCAGAGGGGCTCCCTGGTCGCCTCTGACCGCCTTCGTTTTGATTTCACTGCAAAAGGAGCTCTGAGCACTGGAGAAGTGCGACGCACAGAGGAGAGTGCCTGCGCCATGATCAGAGACGCTAAGGTCTGTGCGAATAATCCATGAAAATCATTATTCTATGGATGGATGGATAGGAATAAGTGGTGCAGATTAATTTAAGGCAGAATTCATAGAATGTCTATGTTGTGTTTTTACTACTCACCATTCAAAGATCAATTGGCTACTTTTTTTTTTATATCTGTAGCCGGTGTATGCCATGGAGGCCTCTCTGGCACAAGCTAAAGCCATCCAGGGACTGCGGGCTGTTTTTGATGAGACTTATCCTGATCCTGTGAGAGTGGTGTCGATAGGGATCCCAGTCCAGGACCTGCTGGACGACCCCAGTAGTGCAGCTGGCTCACTCACCTCCATTGAGTTCTGTGGAGGAACGTAAGTCATTTACCTTCATTTTAGTAAAGGCCCTGTATCTGAATTGACAGCATTTGACTGCTGAAAAAAGTCAATACAATGCAGGCCCAATTAGTTGATTCCCCATCCCCACTTACTCCTAATTAAGGCAATTTTTATTTTTTTATGAGCACATAACTTTCCACCCTGAGTTCAGTTAGACTCTCCGTAGTATGGTAAAAACATGTACAACACAAAATTTAATTTGAAGCATGGGCCCATAGTATCACTTTTGATCGTCCAAAGTCTTTCAGTAAAAATGTGAACCATAAAAACCCGCTTTTGCATACTCTTACTTTTTGACACTTTAGGCTGAGAGTACAATAGAGTACCTAATAAAATACCTGTAAAAAAGGTGTAAAAACTATATTTTGAGAGTAAGGAGGTGGATTATATGAGTTACATTGTTTGTGGATTGACAGTTATACCACATTTATTTACATGAAAATCAAGTTTTTCATAAGATCTTCTGTTTGTCTGACAATCTGCAGCCATCTGCAGAACTCTGGGCACGTTGCACCGTTTGTTATTGTCTCAGAGGAGGCCATCGCTAAGGGCATCCGACGCATTGTTGCTGTGACAGGAGCAGAAGCACAGAAGGTCTGCACGCACTCACTGCTTTTGCCGTAACAAAATAATCATTTAATCATAACTAAGTAATGTTTTAATATTGCAAATGTGGTGTCATTTCTTGTCTTCTTATTCATTCAGTATTGTTTCAAAAATTGCATAAATAATGTCAAACCTTCCTTTATACTTTACAAGGCAACTTTGATTGTATTTTTTGTAATCCTAGATGTCTATATTGTGTCGCTGCTTTTGTAGTTGTATAGCCATGTTTCTCAAAAATGGAAAGCAGAGGTTTTTTTTATTTTTTTTAATCATCATGTCTCTGTGCTTCGTGTGTCCCTCAGGCCCAGAGGAAAGCTGATTCTCTGCGCCAGGCTCTTGCTGCTCTAGGAGACAAGGTGAAGCAGCAGAGCTCACCCAACAAGGACATCCAGAAGGAGATTGCTGACACGACAGAGGTGTGGCTTTAAACATAAGACCAGCGCAAGTAAAATGGTACGATATTTTAACACAAACTCCCTGTTGTAGTCCATCGGCACCGCTGTCATCTCGCAATGGCAGAAGGACGAGATGAGGGAAACTCTAAAAGGCCTTAAAAAGATCATGGACGATTTGGACCGCAACTACAAGGCTGACATCCAGAAGAGAGTCCTGGAGAAGATAAAGGAGGAGATTGAAAAGAACCCCAACCAGGAACTGCTTATCATGGAGATGGAGCCCGGAGCGTCCGCAAAGGTAAACACAGTAAATCTAAAGTTGCAGTCTGTGTGGCCAGAGCGCGGGTCCTGATTAGCGGCAGAATGCTTTATTTAAAAAAGGTTTTCTTGCTGCAGTGCACTTTTTCACTTGGCTTATCAGATTGTGTTCTCGCCAGGGACCAAATCAGTGTTGTGGCCCATTAGTTCTGACCTTGGGACATCGATACTGCTGATGGGAGACTTTGCTTCATTTTGTTTACTTTTCTCTCCTCCTTTTGGCCAGGCTCTTAATGAGTCACTGAAGCTGTTGAAGACCAGCTCTCCGCAGACCGCTGCCATGCTGTTTACAGTGGACCCTGAGGCCGGCAAGGTGACATGCCTCTGCCAGGTCCCACAGGTGAGCCCAAACTATACAATGATTTAGTCTTTTTGTAAAGCTTTTTTTATGACTGAGCATACCTTGTTCATTAGGCTTTTTTAATTGATTCCTTCTTTTTGTCCCTAATAAGAATAAAATAAATCAAAGCAAGTAAAAAAAACTACAACTGGCTGACTTTAATCTGCTTTTTCTTGTCTGCAAAACAATCCTCTGAATTTAAGATGTAATCATAGCTTGACTCTGGGCCGACCTCTCCATGCGGCGTCTCTTTTGAATAAATCATTAAGTATAATTTCTCAACGTGCTGCGTATAAATAAACCTTGACTTTGCCCTTTTTAGTAGTTGCACAGCTCCATAAATATGCTTCACTCAGAGGTGGGAGATTTTCACTTAATGAAGATTGATTATTATTCGTTTATTTATTATCTATAATCCAGTAATTTATTTATTGCGCAAAACTGGGATTCATTCATGGAATCTAGACACTTTGGGATAACCAACAATTCAATCCACTTATAGTGCTGCACAGAGACTTCATTAATTGATTAATTGATAAATAAAATAAACAACTTAAACAAACCTTAAAATACCAATTGTATACATACAATAGGTACACGCAATCAAGACTTTCTGTTTAACAGAATTTACAGCCAATTGTGGAACAATTCTCATGATTGTTAATGCCAAAATCTTTCATTTCATTAAGATGATTGTAATACTATTTCTCCACAGAGCAAAATATGCAGCACTCTTATTTATTCTTGTGGAGAATATCAGTGACTGATTTCCTTCTCCTGTTTAATTCCAGGAGACTGCCAAGCGCGGTTTGAAGGCCAGCGAGTGGGTCCAGGAGCTCTGTCCCCTCATGGACGGGAAAGGCGGAGGGAAGGACATGTCTGCTCAGGCCGCTGGCAGAAACACAGAGTGCCTGCAGGAAGCACTAAAGATGGCCGACGCCTTTGCACGACTTAAATTAGAAAATTGAATATGAATTGAGATATAACTTTAGTAGCGTCCTGACTGGTCATCACCATCTTTCCTCCATCAGCCATGAATTAAAACCATACAAGCCACCACAAAATGAGCCATTATTTATTTTTCGAAGGTGGTCATGTGGAAAACCTGCAGCAAAAAGACGCCTTGTGGCCAAATGTAAGGTTATTTTAATGTCTGGTTTGTTTTTATATGGCAATACCTCTCGTCTATAACTTGGCCTCACTGACTTATCTGAATTTACAAAAAGTCTGGGTTGGGATGGTGTATTCTGCAGTCTTTTCTTTGGTCTTCTGATGCACTTTTCCTTATTTGTTCACATTTTGCTACAGTGTCCTGTCTCTCGAGTCAAGTCCATGGTCTCATTGGTGGCTGGATTCACACATTAGCTGTGTCATGTCTAATTACATGTATGAACATTATCATGTCTAACTTAATAGTAAAATGTTAATGTCAATGAAATAAAACTAATGAATAACTTTAGCCTCTTGATATATTTTATTAACAATGATTATTTAACTTACAAATAAGTTGGAGGCATGTTGATTAATGAAACAAACCGCTCTTTCATTAAGCTTTTATTTGTACAACAGGATATAAAGATTCTGGTCACGCGTCATACAGACATGTCTGTAGTAAATACACAAGTAGCCTGCTGCCTGGAGCCGTTTAGGCAAAGAATGTTTCAGCTTGTTCTTATACCAATAGACATTTATACAACTGTGTTAGTGTTAGTGGTGGTTAAGTAGTAGGGTGGTAGGTAATATTCCACAGGAGGAGGCTGAAGCTATAAAGCCTGACTGGTTGAAAGATTCCCAATCTACCAAAGACTACCACTGCGGTAACCATAATTACACATTTGAGCTTGAGTGTGAAATAATGTAAAACTATGACAATCCTATTGAATGATTTGATTCATACAATTACACTGCTGGAGAGCCCAGAGCTAAAATGGGAAATGTTCAATATGACAGACTGATCTTAATGTCAAACTACTCAAAGCGTCACTTTAAGGAAATGACCAATTTAACAAAACATGGACTGAATGACCTGAATATTACTTATGAAATGTAGGACAGGAAACATTTTCAACATCTAAAGCAACCTTTCTAATTTATCTTTTTTTACTGTATGTGTTCTAGAAATGACAGTGCTTGCTGGATTTTAAGCCTCTCCTTTTCTCTGGGGGACATATAGGGATGCAGCCAATGTATGTATTTTTATTCGATAAGAGCGCCCCCTGTTCTGCTGGAACACATTTGGAGACAGCTCTATCAGCTGTTTATCTCCAGAGCTGATGACCTAGCACACATTTCTGATTCAGTGTGTTGATGTGAACAGCAGAAAGGGCCACCAGGAAAGGCAAGGAAATACACAGGACTTGTCCAAATATAGTGTTTTGATCATCACAGGTCAACATTACTTGTAATCATGTTGCGTCTAAAACATTTGTCAATCTTTTTGTTTTTCTCCTTCAGCTGTTGGTCAAGTGTTACATTACAACACAAAAACCTGTAGCAAATATTCAAGACTGGCCTATATGTGGACAGAAATTACATTAATCTTCAGCGGTTTATTTACAGGTGCACTTAATACTCAAGCAAGTACTGTACTTTTATTAATCTTTAGGAATCACTGCAACATGTAGTCTATGTATTGGACCAAAAATTGATCTTTTACCAGTACTCAACATTGGTAGTCTACATTTGGTTCAATATCTCTGCACTAAAATACATGTTGACCCTTTTACAGACAGATATACACCCTTGGGAGAACTGCATGGCCTAGTTTAGTTTTATAAATTGAACTAGATATGTCGTCTCAACTACAGCAGGAGACAAAAATGTATTTTTAGGAAGGAACCACCCTTTCTCTCCATCTGATCACACCGTTCAGGGGCAGCTGTAAGGAGAAGGACCAATAAGGACTCCGAATATCACTCTCTCGGTACAGACGGCTGTGTGTGCATGGATGCTTGCAGTTCAGAAAGGCACAAGCACAAACTTTCCGTCACTTTCTAATGATATGCGGGTGATCACGGGGCAGCTGGAGGTGACAGTTGTCCAAAAGCAGGACAAGGCACAGAAGCGTTGATGTGCATGTGTGTGTGTATGAAAACAACTGCAATTCCTTGACAATATTTTTCAAACAAATGTGCAAAGAGGACAAGAAAAAAAAAACTGAAGTTGTAATAAGAGGCACAGTTAATCCCAGTGGCTTGTCTTAACATGTGTGGTTGTGGTTCTGACAGAGCTGTTGTCAGTGTCACGCAGAGGTAGAAGCTTCTCAGTAAGTCTGTAGCTGGTGGCACATCTGCTCTGCTATCTGGCTGTGTACCAAGATAACACCTACAGGAATAACACTCAACACTTCCAGGAGTTATAGGGACAGTGTTGCACTCGTCACATGTGTGTTGTATTAGATATGAGAGACATTGCAAAGCTTTTTTAGGACAGTAAAACATGCTCTACATTGAATTATTTACGCATTCTACGTGTGCTGCTCAGGAGTAAGGCTGCCATTCTGTGCCACTGATAGTGCTAAATGGAGGCTCCAGAGGTGACACCGCTTTGATCACCACCGTAATGTGTAAATCTCGGGTTTTCTAAACAGCTAAGAGAGTAGACAACACTTTTATAAGTTAGTTACTTCTCCTTTTTCTAATTTCAACTAACCTACCATTTACTGAAACCCAACACTAAACAGAATCAGTAAAATGTAGGCTGATGGCACAGACTATTGTGAAGTTCAAAAACATGTTGAATGACCGATCAATTCAAAGTCAAACCTCAAACATTTGTTAGTGAAAACATAGTGAAATTGCAAGAGGTGGAACATGAGCACATTAATAAAAGAGGGGAACAAAGACAAACTGGATTCGCATTTTCTAACAAAGGGAAGAAAGGCCTCAAACATTTGACCATATAGCTTGTTTTTAAGGAACATTCTGATTAATTTCTGGAAACTTCTAACCTCTAATACTTTTTCAAAAGTAAACATAAATTCTGTTGGAAAAAAACAGAAAGAATATTCAAGACACTTGATTAATAAAAATAAAAAAAAAACAGATATGAAATACAAAGGCTGTGTTTTTAACAGTCCAGAAGCAGGTCTCAACCATCAAGATTCATGTATTTGATGTGAAATATAGAAAATGTGGGTTAAATAAGTCAAGATCATTAATCAACTTGGGAGAGGAGAAGACAAAAAAGATGAAACATAACTTGAGGAGTCTGATGCGACGTGAGCCGTGGTGTGATGGAATGTGTGTAGGTAGTGCAGATTAAGTGGTGTGGTAAGAAGCTAAGGCGTTTGGTGAATCAGCAGTGGTTCATGAAGTCCTTCTAATCACAGTTCAATCAAAAAGTGGTGACCCCAAAAACCAAAGTAATTGTAGTGTACAGGCAACGTTGTTTTGTTGTACCATGGGTAAATGGTTTGTTTTTCCCCCATCTCCAGCCTTGCAAGTAAGACGCTGTAACACCACACAGATACGAGACAATTCCAAAAAGTACAATGCCTTTCAATCCATTCCAGGAGCCGATTCCCAGGAGTGCTCTGAATGCCCTGCAACCCTGCTCGTCTCTGGATGTGAACCAGAGATGCTGCCAACGATGTGTTTCTTTCTTGCTTGTGGCAGACTGTCTTGTTTATGAGTCACAAAGGCCTCGAGTTTGAGTTACCGTTGCTGGCATATCCAGTTAGATTTTCTGGGTAGTCATGATGTTACTGCGCAGTTATCGGTCCAGGCGTGACACCAGACAAACCCCACCAGCTCCAGCGCTAAAGGTTAAGTCAACAAAGTAGCGTCTTTGATAACTGGATTCCAACTTGACAGCTTCCCAATTTCAGCTTTCATGCTGACATGCCAAGTACAGGGGAGAGAAGAGTAAAGATGGCCGACTTGCTCCATAGTGACAACTGTGGGTTGCTCCAAAAGTGGCAACGATGCTGTTTAAGTACAGGGCATAACGTTATTACATTGTGGATTAGTCTTCCATTGTGAACACTTGTGCCTCTGGATTAAGCCTAAAACAGGGGCTTTGCTTGAGAGCTGATGAAAGCGTTTTCCCTCTTATCCCCTTCTCATTTGTTGGCCCTCCTGAGGTGGAGTTGCCCTTACAAAGCCGTGGACACATTGTCAGTCCTCAAACCCGGTCATTAGGACAAATCCAGGCCAAAAGCTCAGAGCCAATTGTCTTGTCTCAAACTATTAGCGACAGTTGCTTCTTGCTAGACCAGATGTAAGAGCTAGGTCCGTTGTCATTGTTTCATATTAGATACAGTATGCATGGAATGGACCTATTTTCTGTAGTCACATCAAGGTTTTGAATGGTAGCTAATCATAGATTATTTTCCAGGGAAAACAGTGATTTTGCCTGCTTTGGCAAGTCTCTGGATAATCTGAGCCTCGTAGTCAGCATCATGCACGCCGGTCTTCCTGAACTCCCCTGAGTAGCGGTTTTGTTCCCAGTAGTGGTGCCAGTTTCCACGGCTGTCGGCCCCAAAACCAAAAACATTCACCTACAAAAACAGTGAGAGAAACTGTGTTAATATTGCTATGTGTAATCATTGTTAGAGCCACAATTAACAATGTTCAGACCTCATCACAGACGTGTAAGGCAAAGAAGAGAACCAGCATTCCAGTGGATGGATAGCGGCCATGGTGTTTGGTCCAGTGGTCGTGGATGTATTTGAAGAAAGCTGGGTTGAAGATTTGTACCTGGAAATCAAAAGTAATACAATTATAGAGTAATCTATAATGGGATGACCGGCCCTCTCCAATAGTTCAGCAGAATCTACAACTCGTATATTCTGCTCACTATCTGGACCACAGACATCCAAATTTGTATTTTCTACTTAAGATGAGATTTGAAGTATTTTCATGACAAAAACAAATACTTGAAAACTCATTTTGCTTTTTAAATAATAATGAATGAACATTGATCAAAAGGTTCAATGATCAAATTATTTTTTATTCTTAAAAAATATAAATGTGTGCATGTTTTATACAATTGAATAGAACATGTACACATTTTCCCACTTTTAATATTAATTCAACCACTGATGAAATAAAGTTCACAAATATTAGCAGCCCCATGTTTATACTATTGCTTTTTGCTCTTTTTGGGTTGCCACAATCATTCATTTCCATCCCAGTATGTTTATAAAAGTAACTACTGACTGTATATAAGGTGTAGAATATATAAAGCAATAGCAACTGCCTTAGGAGGTTTCCGAGATGTGCAAAGCTCTTCTTTGAAAGTCTTATCACACACATCTGCCAAAGACATGAACTTCACCCAAGACACGGACATGAAATCCGCAAATTCTTGGGATGGTGGAGATTAGTCTGAGTTTATTTATTTTCACAGATTAAAGAGCAATGGATTATTGAAAACTGAAGGATGGCTTATCAGAGTAATCCCTCATCAACAATGGGGAGGGGATAATATAATTGCGCTAAAGCAGTTTTAGTGTGCGCTTGTGTGTGCGCTTGTGTGTGTCAGGCGCACCTTGTCTTTATCCACACGAAGAAACTGCTTCACCGGAGCGTAAGTACTGAGGGCAAAGAGTCAGAACGATTAAACACAATCTGCACTTGATGTGATTGCAGAAACAAATTCATCATTTTAGTTTGATCTGCTTGACATTTACACTAGCTCATATCCGTGTGTGTGTGTGTGTGTGTGTGTGTGTGTGTGTGTGTGTGTGTGTGTTGGGTTGCTTACAATCTTATCTGGCCGGTGGACAGGGCGCTGGTGATCCAAACCAGGTCCAGGGTCTTAAATGGGACCAGGACGAAGCTGACGTTGGCGGCGAGGTTCTTGGCGCTCTCCGGATACATAAACTGGTGAGTGGTGTGGCTCCCTGCGTCCTCCTCAAAGCCCACAGTTGGAGCCAGGTTAATCCTACACAGACATATGGAGTTACTCAACGTGTTGAAAAGTACTTCATATATTATATATGCTTTGAATGTTTGCCATGGAACTGCATTCGTCCATCTCCAGGGAGAGAAGTCAGGTTATATGTCAGAATGGTACAGTGGAGATAAAGGTAGTTAATGTTACTGAAAAGAGCACAAATAGTAGTAGTGTGTATGTTCTGTCTTTTTTGTGTCTTGGACCCTGAGTCTGCAATAAAGGCTTTATTCATTCATTCATTCATAGTGAAATATAGGCAGTTTACACATGTATACTTGTTTTTACTGCCCATTTTCCAAATAGTGTTTTTAGTGCAAATGTAAACACTTCTCTAAACCCATTTGATAACATCATAACACCAGCGAGGTACTAACATAAAACTGGAAAAGCTCTGCTCCTTTGCTCTCGGTCGTCTCTGCAGCCTGTCACCTATTCTTAACTAACTGTATTATATAATAACAGCTCTGAGCTGAACGTACTTATTCCAACATGAAAGTGCATTTGAACAAGTAGCTGCCCATACGGAGCTGAACAATGACAGCAATCACTGAAAGCCCAGAGCCGAAGGGCCGACAGGAGAGAGACTGCAGAGATTTAAAACACAAATGAGAATCAATGTGTGTGGAAATTCTGAAGTCTGCTCAGATCGAGAACTCGTGGATAATGACAACACTGTATTTGTCTTCATTGAAATATTGATGGCAGCCAGAAGCCATTTAGGAACATTGATGTTTTTTCTAACATTCATTTCCAGAAGTGTTCTTCATTGTTGAAAAGATTTCAGTGTTGCTGAAGAGAACAAAGATTGCAAACGTCAATAACATTTAACTAAAACAGATTATCCTTGTGCCTGCTTGACACACTGTATTTTTGAACTGCTTTCTTCCTTACACATATACTTAAATGGCCCGTTCTTCCTTTATAAATCCAGTTCCCTCAGTACAAAGCATGGCGGGCTGGCCCAACAAAAATATATATATAGCTATATGTCACCACAATTAGGCTGTGTGATTCATCTTTGCTGCAGTGCAAGGAGACAAAGGGATTTATGTGGCCTGCTGTGAGAGTATCTATGAGGGAGCCGCTATAGGCTGCAGCTTCAGGGGACATAAACCTCTTTGTGCTGATGCTGCATGAGTCAGGTGGGAACTTCTAACCAGTAACCGAGTGCAAAGGGCAAATAATTCCAACGATTAAGTATTGAGACATACACAAGCTCAATCTCTTTCATTTTTACATTCTGCATATGGCAAGGACAGCTGCTGACATTTTCCCCCCTTTGTTATCAGGACTTTTTCATTTCCGTCAAAGGACTTACATCTAATACCCACTATCAGGTCTCTCCATCTCATCTGCCTCCTCACCTCATGACGTAGTTGTGCCCATCTATACTGGCCCCGTATCCAGCTCCTCGCAGGTTTCCAGAGTTTCCAACCACCGCACAGCGCAGACAGCGTCCCGGATCCCACGACCCATATGGAGATCTACCGGGAATAACCTGAGACAGCGTGCATCCCCGGCAAAAGATTAGACTTTGTTTACTGAAATGGGACACTGGCCCTAATATAGCAAGACAAGGACATGGAATATTCTACAGCTAAGCATTGTTTGATAAATAATTGTGAGACTGGGGTGAGCTGTCCATGTAAAAATACATTATGCTATGCAAACTTGAGAGCCATAAATGTATGCAAAATTAATCTAAATACCTGGAAAAGTCTCAGGAGCACCTGCTGGATACTGTGTGGTTTGAACTGTGGCTGCAGCATCTACAGAGACAAAGCAGGACAAAGAGTGTGTATAGAGAACAACACAATATTAGCCACAAATCTCCACCATTTTAAAGTTCAGATTAAATTAGGTTCAAATCTGGGTTTACACCAGCCTGGTCTTCCACACCATCAAACCAATTTAATTTTGTACATGTGGGGAAATATTAATAGACAGGAGATTACGAATGACAGGTTCACACTTTCCATCAATGTTGAAGACGGTTCTGTTTGCCTCCATTTACAACTGAAGGATTTTACCTCTATTTTCAATTGTTATTAATTATTTTGCCGTTTGTTTTATGTGAACAAAGCGCTGTCCTGTGTAGATTGATTGATTGATTAATTTAGATTAAAATTAAAAAATGATGCCTCTTACATACAATAGTATAGACGCACCATGGAATGTGTTAACATGTTAGGTTCTGTCGCGGGTTCTACTGCGTCACTACGCGGGAGCGTGAGGGGGAGAGCTCTTCCTGGTGTGAGATATGGCGGTTGAATAAAAAATTGCTCTCTGCAACAAGAACCTTGTCTGTTGGAATTTACATGGTAGCAGAGGATGGTTTCCAACTATAGAGTACCGCCGAAGTTTGACGAAGCTCGGCCGTATGAGTGTTGGAAAAATGAAGTTAGTATTTGGAGACTTGTTACGGAGCTGGACAAGACAAAACAAGCGCTGGCAGTGGCGCTTGGGCTCGAAGGGAGAGCCAGAGAAACGGCGCTGGAAATATCCGCGGTGGATTTAAACAAAGATGACGGTATGGAGACGTTACTTGCAAAACTGGATGCGGTGTTTTTGAGAGAGGAAAAGGACCGCGCGTACGAAGCGTACTCTCATTTTGACTCCATCACTAAAGGCAGTGCTTTGTCCATGGCGGACTACATCATTGACTTTGAGCAGCGGTATAACCGCATGAAAAAAGTACAACATGACCCTTCCTGACGCTGTACTGGCTTTCAAGCTCCTGGACACGGCATGTCTGGAGGAGAAAAGCAGACAGCTGGCATTGACTGCGTGTACGGAGCTGACTTTTGCATCAATGAAGTCCGCATTAAAACGCATATTCGGAGGAAAAACAGCATGTGGGACAAACGCCATCGAGGAGATTCAAGATGGTGCATTTTTCACGAAGCAACGGCCCAATGTGAAATTCAAACGTAGCAATGGCTCGTCCCAGAGCGGATATCAGCGGCAGCAGCAAGGAACGAATCCACTTGACAAGTACGGTAAGCGGACGAGATGCGCTGTGTGTCAGAGTACCTATCATTGGGCTAAAGACTGTCCCCATCGCAGAAATGACGTTAAGTTAATGGAAGATGAAAGTGTTGAAGAATGTAACATCACTCTGTTCACTAAAGCAGCTATGACAGAGTCAGAAATATTCCTAACTGAGTCTTTAGGATCTGCTATTATTGACACTGCTTGTACACGTACCGTTTGTGGTCAGAAGTGGCTGGACAGTTATGCTAAGGGTCTTAACAAACGCCAAATCAACAAACTGCTAAAAACAGAACATCCTAGCAGCCGTCCGTTCAGATTTGGAGATGGTCAAGTTGTGTACTCTAGCAGAAGAGTGAAACTTCCTGCAAAGATTGGACAGACAAAGTGCCACATTGAAACTGAAGTTGTCCCAGCTGATATTCCCCTGTTGTTGAGCAAAACGTCCCTGAAAAGAGCAGGAACTATTTTAGACATGGAGAATGACAGAGTTGTCATGTTTAAGCAGACTGTGCCTCTGGAGCTTACAAGTTCAGGACACTATTGCGTGGACATTAGAGATGAACATGCTGAAGTGAGCTGTAATGAAAGTGAAGTCCTAGTTGTCACTGGAGAAATGTCCACTAAAGAAAAGCGTAAAGTTCTTCTAAAACTTCACAAGCAGTTTGGCCACGCATCTGCAGAAAGACTTCAGAAGCTCATTCAAAGCTCCGGAAACACTGATCAAGACTGCCCCATCATTCTGCAGGAGATCATTCGTGACTGTGAGATCTGCCAAAGATACAGCAGGTCCAAGCCAAAGCCTGCTGTTGGTCTGCCATTAGCTTCACAGTACAATGAGACAGTGGCTATGGATCTTCATGAGCTGGAGCCTGGCGTATGGTACCTCCACATCATCGATCATTTTACACGTTTCAGCGCTGGAAACATTGTGAGAACCAAGAAACCTTCGGAGATAGTCAACTCGTTCATTCACTCGTGGATAAGTGTCCATGGCGCACCAAAACGGATCTACACAGACAACGGCGGGGAGTTTAACAATGCAGAGATACGAGACATGGCAGAGAACTTCAATATTGAGACTAAGACAACAGCAGGATACAGTCCCTGGAGCAACGGACTGTTGGAGAGACACAACATGACACTAACTGAAATCCTTCTAAAAGTGAAAAGGGAAAATGTGTGTGGGTGGCAAACGGCTTTAGATTGGGCTCTTATGGCCAAAAACAGTATGCTCAATGTGCATGGTTACAGCCCACACCAACTTGTGTTTGGTCAAAATCCCAATCTTCCTTCTGTTTTGATTGATAAACTACCCGCTCTAGAAGGTACTACTGTGAGCACCAGAGTAGGGCAGCACATAGCGGCATTGCATGCCTCTAGAAAAGCTTTCACAGAGGTTGAATGTTCAGAACGAATTAGGAGGGCAATCAGAAAGCAGCTTAGGCCTACAGATGAAAAATATGAGACCGGAGACAGAGTGTACTACAAAAGAGCTGACAGTACAGAATGGAAAGGCCCAGGTGTAGTTATTGGGCAGGATGGGTCTGTAGTATTTATCAGACATGGGGGAATCCTAGTACGTGTGCATCAATCTAGGTTGAGTAAGGTAAATACACCTGATGCAGATACAATAGAAAATGCTACCAAAAACATTACAGAAAATAAAAAAATAGTACATACTGGTGTGTCAGAAGCACAAAGTATACATGGAGTAGATCAAATTGTTGATTATAGTGAGAATGATGTAGATGAGAACCCTACAGAAACCAATGTAACTCCTCCTGATGCAGAAAGTAATGGAACTGCTGATTTAAAACTGAAAACTGGCCAAACAGTCACATTTACAGACCGAGAGGGTATTGAGCACACTGGCAAAGTTTTAGGGAGAGCAGGAAAATCAAAAGGGCAATACAAAGACTGGTACAATGTACAATATCTTGAGCCTGATGGTAGTGAGGGACAAAAACTAGCATTAGATATGTCAGATGTTGATAACCTTCACATCAAGCCGGAAAATGCAGAGGCTGATGTTCTTATTGTCAAAGATATCTCTTTTGATAGTGCCAAACAGCTAGAGATAGAGAATTGGCAAAACAATTATGTTTTTGAGAAGGTAGCAGACAAAGGTCAAAAATGTGTGTCTACTAGATGGGTCTGTACACTCAAAGAAACACAGAGTGGTATTCTCCCTAAAGCGCGGCTTGTAGCAAGGGGTTTTGAAGAGGTAAATAATAGTAGTTTACAGAAAGATTCCCCAACATGTGCATCAGAGTCTCTCAGAATGACATTACGGGCGGCACGGTGGCTGAGTGGATAGCACTCTCGCCTCTCAGCAAGAAGGTCCTGGGTTCAAATCCCGGTTGGACCAGGGCCTTTCTGAGTGGAGTTTGCATGTTCTCCCCGTGTCTGCGTAGGTTTCCTCCGGGTGCTCCGGTTTCCCCTACCACTAAAAATATGTACAATAGGTATGGCATGTGCCTCCTGTACTGGCACCCCCACTCCCAAAAAAATAACAATTGTAAACCGCTTTGAGACTCCGATGTGCAGTGAAAAGGCGGTATATAAATAAAAGCTTACTTACTTACTTACATTAGCGGTTGCCAGTCAAAATAGGTGGAAAATTCACTCTATGGATATTAAGTCTGCCTTTTTACAGGGAATGGAACTCTCGAGAGATGTTTACATTCGGCCCCCACCTGAGGCTGAAGGAGACAATGTATTGTGGAAACTAAAGAAATGTGTATATGGACTTGCAGACGCTTCTCTTTACTGGTACAACAAGGTCAAAGAACTGATGCTGAACACAGGTGGAAAAATGTCTCAGGTGGATCCAGCTGTGTTTTTATGGATGAATGAAAATTCTGAGGCTATTGGTGTACTGTCATGTCACGTAGATGACTTCCTTTGGGCAGGATCTGAGCAGTTTGTGACAAAAGTGATTCCTGTGGTAAAGTCTACCTTTCAAGTGGGGCGTGAAGAACATGAGAATTTTTCTTATGTAGGTATGGATATTGTCACAATTGGAGACAATATATTGGTACATCAGCACAGTTACATTGAAAATCTCCAACCAGTGTCTTTAAAGGCAGCTCGGGCAGTGCAGAGAGCTGCTCCTTTAAATGAGACCGAGAAAGAGCAGCTCAGGTCTAAAATAGGACAGATTCTGTGGGTTGCTAAACAAACAAGGCCAGATGTTATGTTTGACACATGTAGCCTAGCATCTAACATTACAAATGCAACTGTCCAATCCATACATGAAGTGAACAAGGTAATCCGTAAACTTAAGTCAGAGAAGGTCACACTTAAGTTTCAGCCTTTAGGAAACAAAGATGATCTGAGTCTTGTGGTCTTTAGTGATGCTTCACTTGGCAATCTCCCAGATGGTGCAACTCAAGGAGGGACTTTAATTGTGCTTATGGGTAAAGGAGGCATGTTTTCCCCTTTGTTTTGGCAGTCTAAGAAGATCAGGCGTGTGGTAAGAAGCACTTTGGCAGGAGAAACTCTCGCTATGGCAGATGGCATAGACAACGCTATGTTTCTGGCCACATTATTTTCAGAGCTTACTATTGGTAATGCTAACATGAATGCCCTTCCTCTTGTTTGTGTTACTGATAACCATTCACTGTTTGATGCTCTTAAGTCCACAAAGCAGGTCACAGAGAAGAGATTGAGACTAGAAATAAGTAGCATTAAAGAGCTACTACATGCAAATAAAATCAGACAGATCTGTTGGTCAGAGGCAAAGTCACAACTTGCTGATTGTTTAACCAAAAAG